GAGGGTCTTCCATTAATTAGAAATATTCCCAGGAAAGGATGGTCATACTCGTGTAGTGAAGGTACAACGCGGACAGAGGACATACGTGAAGACCAGTTCACAAACTAATGCTAATTTGAATATAGAACAATTGCAAGGACAAAGTTAAGCACACCAGGCTATGTACCAAATGTACGAAAGGTGTGTTGAGAAGCATGTAAATAATTTATGTTTTAGTTGGATAGCCGAAATAAGACATTGACATTGAATATCAATTGGGGGGGGGGGGACGATTTAGGGCGTTGTTGCATGTTTTTAGTAGTTTTGTATTTTTGAGATATCATAATTTAACTGAAAAAGATAGGTCGTGTACACTTACCCATATTAGTAAACTGCAATGATTTCAAATTTTTCCTAAAATCACTTTTCGTCTAGGTCAGCAATGCAACTGACTTTCAAACTCAATATGGCTTTGACTTTATATACTTGATTTCACTAGAAGAATATTTTATAATTAACAATAAAACCGACATAACATCGAGGTCACACATTTGCCCCTTAACTGGTTACAACTACCACATTTTTAATCAAACGTCGGAAAAATCGCCTTATACTTGTTAAGCTTAATAGTAGCCACAGAACAGAGATTATGTCTCAATTTAAATCTCTTTTCAGTTAGTGCCGACATAAATCATGACCGTTTCAGCTGACATCAGACGGAAATCACGGCAGCTTATTGCCAATATTGGACGGTGCTATGTTTGGGATATATTGATTAACATTTTTAAATAATTTCATGAAGATTTTCTAAAACTATATACGTATATATGTCCTGGTTTGTGCGCGCATTCACGCGGCTATAAATATTACTATCTGACTAGAGTCGATACCAAGAAAATATAATCATCCTATTCTCACCGTGGCTGAGAGTAACTAATAATTATTTGATGAAACAATCGTGCACCATCACAGGTCGTATATGCAGGAAGTATAGACAAAACATTAATTTGTGCGTTTTATTGTGGAATAGAAGGGATTGATTCCATTGAGTGTTTTTTCTCGGAGAAATGCGAAATATTTCGCGCGAAATTAATTAAATGCATGCGCAGTTTATAAAGATATCCGCGCAAGAAAAAATTTGCTTCATATATGCATCATTGAGTAGAAATCTTTATACGGGATCGATAATAGCACTATTAGTTCTAAATTATTCTCCTTATAGAAGTCCAGTAAGGGTCTTCCATTAGTCGAACAATATTATACACCCGAGTTAAGAAATCCGGCTTTGGTGTAGTGGTCCAATCAAACCGGAAGTCTCTCACATGAAGCTCAAGTGAAATGAGCACTTAAGCTAGTACGTTTCCACGCTACGATTTGTCGTGTACGATTCGTATTCTGGCGTATTAAAATGAGTGCAAACGCCATAATTCATTGCCGTTTCGTTAAAAATAAATTTCAAATGTAGCCAGCTTACGCGTGTTTACTTAATGACATGCATACGCCAGAAAACGAATCGCACACGATTAATCGCAGCGTGTAAACGTATAGCTTTAATTCGATATTCTTGGTCATACAACCTCGTTTTCGTGATTTAAAAGGCTTTTTATCATGTTACAGGAGGTTACTGCTGGCACTTATTCACTCATGCCTAATTTTAAAAACATTTTATCACTGCTGACCGGAAACACGCCCTGAAAATTTCTGAATACATCCTATATGATAATGTGTAATCACAAAAAACTATGAAAAAGGCTACAATTGATATTGAAAAATGCCAAACCAACATGCACTGCACAACACCCAGGGTCGCCCACGGAAATTTAAGGCGGCCCAGGGAGAAAAATTTGACTAGGGGCACCTCGGAATTCCATCTTCTAACAATATAATTAGGGGGTCCGGGGGCATTCTTCCCGGGAAAGTTTTGAAATCTGCGGTCCCAGAAACGGCCAAATCCTGCATTCTGGAAGCCTGTTGACAGTTATCATATGTTTTGTATTTTTGCACAAGTGAACATAACAAATCCTACACGTTGATTGGTCGAATTTGACGCAATAAGCTGTTATATTCACCTAGCTACAGGTGAATATAACAATTGAAAACAGACATTTTCAAAATGGCGGCTACCCGTTTTGTGGATATTTTCTGACAAAGAAATAAGCGAAATTAAAATAAATTCAGTCTCAAAAAACACAAAAGCTTGTGTAAAAATACTGAACAATTATTCGCCTCAGGTTCGGTGATTATCGGGGAATATTCACCTCGACTTCGATTCGTCTCGGCGAATATTGCCCGATAATCACCTCGCCTTCGGCGTATAATTGTTAAATATTTCACTGTGATTTAGTTTAACTGGGGCCCCATGCAGGACAAATTTCCATGTCCACCCCTTTGGGCGACCTTGACAGCACCTGAAATTACGACCATCTATGACAGCATAGTTTCGTAGTCACATGTTTGCGGCAAATAAAAGGTTTAGGCGTGACAAACCTCTAGAGGAGTTCCAGGGGCATACACCCACAGAAAAATTTATAATCTAGGCTCTCTAAAAGACCATCGCCTACAATGTGTGGGAGATTCTATAGAATTTTGAAGCCATTACACACTAATTATAAAAGGTTAAGTATCATTCACACCATTTACCAAGCTCATAAAGAGATCTTTGCTGGAAGACTTTGTTCATGTGATAAACCTAAAGTATAATATTAGTGCGGACGTTCGATAATTTGGCAGTTATATCATTTCAATTTCATTCAAATTATTCTCGTTCAAAATGTTTTGATTAATACTGTTATACTGTCAAGTGTCAAAACGAATTTTTAGTTCAGTTCTTCTGCTCATTGCCTCATTTTCTTGCTAATTAACAACTTATCACAGCAAATTTTATCACTGCACATTTTACATTTTATTACTGCACATTTTACATTTATCACTGCGCAAATTGTTTATCACTGCACACTAAAATTAGGTATGTTATCACTACAAACTTGTTTGTCACTGCATACTAAAATTAGGCATGTAACAACTGAGGAGATACTATCGCATGCAAGGGGAATTGCTGCCGTATGGCCATGAAAAAATATAATTAACAGCCAAAATCAAGATTATATATTGGGTTGAGTTATTCGCATTGCAAGTGAACTAAGACAGACTGTATGTCTGATTTTCACTATCAAAATCTTTCCAAAGCAAGATCTCGGAATGACTATAGACTTCTGCATGATTGTATACATTTACTTGATATATACATGATGCTTGGTAAATCAACATTTTAAACTTTTATACTATACCTCGTTGGGTACATACATTTCTCGTTACAATTTATTTCTGGTTACAATTTATTACTACTTATTAAAAGCGATACAGCCATACAACAATACAGGAACCGGAACCTGGAAACGGAACCTGGAACCGTACATAATTTATGCAAATTAGAGCATTTTGCACGAAAGGAGATACACATGATAATAATTTACAGGGAGGAGGCACAATTCAAAGATAGTGTAAAATGTTATGGGCAAAGCATTTTGATTTTTTAAGAACATCGTTGTAGCACTATATTACGAAGTAAAGCATGTTTCGTAATTGCGCGGCGATTCTTTTTGTCTGTTTTGATAGTGACTACATGTGACACTGACACTTAGTTACAGCAATTGTGCGTTCATTATTAAATGTACTTTTGACATTAATGAAGTCACCTTCACAATTTCATTCATGTTTGTGATTGATGTTCAAGTGGATATTTTTAGCATGCAGCATATTCGCAATATTTGCAGCATATATAACACATCATTCCGCAACAACAATGTTGCATTGCATCATACACTGCACTAAACTCTAATTACTTTAGCGCACAATTGCTGCTGAATTCAGTGCAATCTACTTTGCGTGCCGTTGTTTCCTTCTTTGTCTACTGGCATTTCATAATCAAGTGCGGCGGCCGTAAATAAAAACAAAGTGTGTCACATGTAGTCATATCAATACAGACAAAAAGAATCGCGCGCAATTACGAAACTTGTTTTACTTCGTAATATAGTGTTACAACGATGTTCATTCTTTGATTGGTTTAAAAAATCAAAATCAGATGCTTTGCATATAATATTTTATACTATCTGTGAATTGTGCCCCCCCCCCCCCGTATCGTGTATATCTCCTGTGGTGCAAAATGCTCTAATTTGCATAAATTATGCACGTTCCAGCTTTCGGTTCCTGTATCATTGTATCGCTGTTATCGCTTTTTAGTAGAAACGCGCGCTTTCATCTCAGTCACTCTGTTTTTTGTAATCTTTGGAAAGATAAGATGGAGTTGTACAATTAATTTATAAAGTTGCCTAAGATAAGGATAGTTGTGCGGAGTTGTAACAATAGATCGCATCCGGGATAAATAATAATCTTTATTTATCCATCTTAAATTAAAGGACATTGGCAACCAAAATTTTTATTACTTATATCTATTAGGTATACTTACGGAATATTTAATTTCATATTTTGGCCGAATTGTCGCGTTTAGTTGTGAGAAAATTTGATTGAATTTGAGAAAATTTGAACAGTTGTCCGCCATTTTGAAAATAAGCGCGTATGCTAATTTATGCCACAAAATACATTATCTGACGTCATTGGCTGGGTAAACACAATCTCATGACTATAAACAATACCGTGTATTACCACGCGTAGTGCATTTTGAGCCAAAACAAAAGGCAGAGAAGTTTTACCAAGTATGTAACTTGTTTGTAACACTATTTCTCATAGTATATATCCTACTCCGTGTTAAATAAGCGCAGAAATTCGAGTGTAACAAGGCAAATATTAATGCAATATTTTATGACCAATTACCTGCATTGTAAATTGCGCCATTTCTTGCATTCCTAGTCGCTCGATATGTTTTTATCTGATAGTGTAAACTTCTCTTGTTTGATTGCGAAGAGTGTTGGCCAGTATAACGCTCAAAACGGCATATTTTTAGCTAACATAACACACACGCAATAGAATTAACTGCAGTTGAAAGTTACATCCCAGTTAAAACTATGAGTAATACTAACTCTCCACCTTGGATTGACGTGGAGGTTCGCCATTTAATCCGAAAGAAATACACAGCGCTGAAGAAATATCGTTTGGTCAAGTCAGATGCTCGAAAGTTGAAACTACGTACTTTAAGTAAAAAAATCAAATATGCTATCAGACGAAAACATAGCGAGTATTTAGCCAAAATTGAAGCCTCTTTTAAAGATAACCCTAAACTTTTCTGGAGTTATCACAAAGCTATCCTTCACCACCGAGAGAATCAGAGTCCTAAGATCACATACAATGGTACTACAGCCAAGACAGCAGCTGCAAAAGCAGAACTTTTTAACACGTATTTTTCCTCGGTATTTCTGCCGCCAAAATCTAATGTTAGTCCTGATGTAGATGATAATTCATCTCCTTTAAGCACTATCATGCAATTTTCGGACATTACACTCGGTGTTGAAGAAGTCGAGGCTTGTCTTCACGATCTTGATACGTCAAAAGCATGTGGTCCAGACGGCATTCCATCACGCCTATTGAAAGAGTGCAGCCAGGAAATCGCACCCAGCGTCTGTGCACTGTTCAACCAATCTTTAAATATTGGTCGAATTCCTTCTGAGTGGAAATCAGCTAACGTGACGCCAATCCACAAAAAGGATTTAAGAGAACTTGCAGAAAACTATAGACCGATTTCGTTGTTGCCAATTCTCGGAAAGGTCATGAAACGCTGCATTTGTAACAAATTCTACGGTCATTTCAAGCAGCTCGTTACCAAGTTACAACATGGGTTTTTACGAGGTCGCTTGTGTGTCACACAGCTTCCTTCAGTTCTCCACTCAATCCGACAATGCCTTGATAAAAACGTCCAAACAGATGTTCTTTACCTTGATCTCGCCAAAGCGTTTGACTCTGTCGATCACCAAATTCTTCTTGAAAAACTGAAATCCTATGGTGTTACGGGTCAACTACATAACTGGTTTGTTGACTACTTAAAAGACCGTTCTCAAAGAGTAGTAGTGGATGGTGTGGCATCTCAATGGGCACCCGTTACATCTGGAGTGCCACAAGGTAGTATTTTAGGACCAATGCTCTTTGTGGTGTTCATTAATGATCTTCCTGATTCTATACCAGACAAAACAACTGCTGCTTTATACGCAGATGATACTAAGTTGTACAGAAGCATCGTATCAGTAGCTGACTGCGAAGATCAACAGCAGGCTCTGAATAACCTTGATACATGGAGCAGTGTCAATAACCTTAAATTTAATGCATCTAAATGCAAGGTGTTGACCGTGACAAGAAAGAGAAGTCCAATATTACACACTTACCAACTCGGTTCTAAGGAACTGCTTCGTGTGGGGCAAGAAAAAGATCTCGGTGTTACTTTAACTAGTAACCTCTCTTGGGACACCCATATTAACGTTATCGTCGCCAAATCCAACAAGCTGCTGGGTTTATTAAAGAGAACTTGTCCCTTGTTGACGGACGTTAAAGTTAGACGTACGCTGTATCTGTCACTCGTTAAATCACAAGTCAGCTACGCCACAGAAGTTTGGTCTCCAGTCAACATACATCTCAAATCAAAGGTTGAGAAAATTCAAAGAAGAGCTACCGCTTGGATTCTGAAATCCAAACAAGGCGAGATACCTTACCAACAGAGGCTGATAGCTCTTAACCTATTGCCACTATGTTACGACAGGGAAATTAAGGACTTGGTATTTTTCTACAAGGCGCTATTTGAACACTTAGATTTGAACGTTTATGATTTTGTTTCTTTTGTTAATAGCGATCGCACCCGACTTAGTCAAAATCCATCTCTAACTCTTAAAGTTCCTTTTTGTAAAACCAGAACATTCCAAGCGTCCTACTTTAATCGAATAGTTAAACTATGGAACACAACCTGTAAAATACTTCCCCCATCTAGTTTCTTGAGTCTTTCAACTTTCAATGTATCATAATTTAAATACTCAAATTATAAATACTTTTCATGTATCATAATTTAAATACTCAAATTTTTGATGTTGATCAACCGTGTACATGGACCCTCGTACGTGCTTGCTCCTGCCATAGGACATAAACTTTTCTTAGGGGAATTGCCCCGCATGGGACTTGGAGTCCCGTTCGCACTTTTCCCAATTGGGTTCTTTTATTGTTGTTATTTTAAATTAGTGTATCTTTGCCCAATTAGTTGTTTGTATAATTATTGTAAATATAGTTGTTAATGACCCAATAAAGTTCTTTAAAAAAAAAAAAAAATTCTCTCTTGTAGTTTTGGTGCTACCCAGCCATGCAATGACGTCACAAAGTTCATTGACCTTCGAGATAATTTTTCAAAAATATTTTCCAAGATGGCGGCGAAACTGGCCGAAACACAAAGTTTGCATGCATTTTACTCGTAGACTAAAATGTTCAAGAAGGAAATGATTTTCATAGTTCGGTTGTCAAGTAAGATTGAAATAGCCAATAAAAATTTTCGTTGCCAATGTCCTTTAAATATAAAAGTACAATGGATTTACAGTTTCATTGAAATTACGTTAAAAAATATATTAGAACATTATATACAGATAACTAGAATCTTAAGTATGTATAGACAACTAAAAACTATGTGAGTGCACTTGCACGAGCTAAGTCTAAGAAGGAACGTTTATGTCTTTCGGTTCGCGATAATGTGTTTTTGCTACTAATTGTCCGTAAATCATAGGGATTATTTGATTTAAAGAGTCTTGTATGAAAAGGATGGGAAGGGCCATAATCTTCCGCGCTTCACGTTTCAGAAGTTCTTCTTTTCGATCAGAGAGGCTTTGTAGACAGTCATTGTTATAACCAAGAACTCCGGAGGTAGCGGGTCTGGATTCATTCAATTTCATTTACCAGATAAGTTGGAAGGCCACCCCAAACAAGTGAGGCATATTCAAGAATAGATCTAATATTAGATT